TCCTTATATTTGTGACACACACACACACACACACACACACACACACACACACACACACACACACACACACACACACACACACAGAACCTTAATTTACATACACCAATTGTTGGCTTTTAAATAACCATATCCAATTTACAACCATAATGGACATTTCTCTGGAAATTCTTTCAGAGAGACCTGATCTATATTATATACATATATAAATTCTATAAGCAGAATTTCCAGGAACTGTAATCACCCAAAATCTCTCAGACATTGGTCTTATCTATTTGCAGAGTCTTTTAGTTCAACTTTATGAAGAAAACATATTTATTTTACTCAGCACAATGATCGCAATTGTTACTTGATACTGGCAATAGCAGAACCTTATACATGTACAAACACATTCCTCTCTGGCTCTACCATTGGTCTAGCAATCATAAAAAAAAGACATTTACATAATAATTAATGAAATATTTACTTTCCAAAAAATGCATTTGTCTTCTGTTGTAACACTAGTTGCAGCTCCTCATCTCTTACGCTATGCTTTTTTACTGTTTGTGTCAGAAAGATAAACGTTCAGCCCCTAAAGGCTTAGAAACTTCAACAGCAATTAAAATGATTCTTAATATCCAAATACATTTCACGGTTTATTCAGAGTGAAAGATTGTTCCTTACTTTTGAGGTTATAGGGCTGAGTAGTATGGCTACACATTTCCTATACATGTATACTGTCAAGCATATACTGAAAAAAAAGTTTGACATATCTTCAGGACTTTCATAAGGAAGCCCAAAGAAATGTTTCAGTGTTGTATCAATAGCTGAACATTTGCAATGCAGCAACTATTTACTTTTCTTTCTGTTATGCCCCTGATACTGGAACAGTAATACTATATGGTGTCCTCTTGAGATAATAAGGATTTGAATATGTTGAAATGATCTTATTTTTTCAAAATGCAAAAATTTATAAGAAAGCATCAGAGTTGATTAACATGAAAATAGTAAAGGTTTCCAAGCCAGTTTACACCTTAATGAAAGCTGACAGTTTAAAACTCTAGGGTGAAAGGTATCTAAAGGAACAAACAATTCCATTTTGTCACATATTTAGTTCAGTCAGGTCAATAAACACTCTAATTCATTCTTTCATATTTGCTATTGGGTACCTTGACTTGTTAATACTAGTTTTTCTCGCTTCATGTAGCCAGTATCAGGAACAGTTGAAATTCCAGATGGCTCAGTGGGTAGGTCTACTTTCAGTCCTAAAAAGCTGCTGTTATAGTATCAAATCATATGGTCATCTCTCTGTCAGACTTTCTGGCCATCACTCTTAGATGCTGATGGTTCTGTATTTGGCATCTGATGTGTCCTGTCATCTGGTTTAACACTCTTTCACAATGACATTAAAGGCTGCACTTCCTTCTTTTTCCCTACCTTGTCATGAACAGAATGTAAAATGATCTGTTTGCCTCCAAACTAGGCAGATGTCTCTCCAGATTTTAATGCAACAAGTTCAGAGTCATCTAAATATCTTCCATTTAACTGTTCGTTGTTGGAATCATGATGGTACAGATACACAGGGACCTCGGTGATAGATGTTGCTGTGTAAGAGGTAGAACGTGTAGAGCAGTGATCCCGTCGCCTTTGACCCCACTGGGTTTTATACTGCATCCATTGCCTTTTCAGAGCTCCTTGTACCTGGAAGGGTCAAACAAGTAATATTTTATAATGATTTCTGGACAACAGTGACAACTTGACTATAACAGGTGTGCACAGTCTGGCCTCCTACCCTTTTTATTATGTTGGAAATTCTATTTTACAATAGTAACATGATGCCACATTTTATTAAAAGCCACTTCTGTTTCAAATCCCATTTGAGGTCAGATTGGTTGAATGAGATTCACAGCTCATAGTCTCCAGTTTATTCAGAATAAATTTACTCAGTTCACAGATTCAGTGTACATCACATAAGTTCCCCAGTGAAATGAAAGGGATCCATGCTGGCTTACTGCACTGAGTAAATTTCACCCTGAATAAACTAGGAATAAATAGTGAAAACTTAAGTATAACTTAAGTAATTAATAGGTCTCATACTAGTCTTCTTCACAGTGGTGAATTTCATCCATCAGCTATATAACATTCTGGGGAAAAAGGCACTTTCTACAAATATCTCAAGTAGAACAAGATATATATATTTCAGATGTGAGAGCTAGACTGTGATTTGGACTATACAGGCATTCAGGGACTTGGACTATACAGGCCTTGTTCCTTTGTTTTCTTGGGCTTTGAGTCCAGTCATGTAGGAGAAAGGCAGAATACTCTGGCTTGCTCCCTCCCCATATCAGTTACTTACTTCCTATCAGTGTAGGAAGTAAAATGGGACTGGCTCTCTTTACTTGTCTAGTGTAGCAAAAGCAACAGTACTCTGTTGTAAAAGAGGACGTTCTTCCATTCCCCAGAACAAGGAAGAAGGTGTGAACTGAGACTTCAGGTGTGTCTCTGAGTCACAATACTATTATTTGTTGTGGCTACATACTACCTCAGGAAGGGGACAACAGTCACTGTCTATCCTTATGTTGTGCCATACTTTTGATTCTCTAAGGTATCTTTGATAGTCTTGCCTTCTCCAAAATTTTAATCTCTTTTACATATATAGTAAAATTTCACATACCCCCCATACAGCAGCCACTGCCTTTGCTCTTCTCTGCCTGGCTAGAAGGAAGCTATTCTCTTGTCAGAAAAGGGTGAGTTTTTATTAGTATTGCTAGAAATATGATATGCTTATTGACTGTACTGTGGGTTACATGAGCAAGCCAAGAAGGGATATTGCAAATTTTTATTTTTAAGGCAAGGAACAAGCCAAACTATGAGAAATGAGCCCATAAATTCTTAATTATGCACACAGTTACACTGACTTCAAAAGGACTACTTTTTTGAGTAAGCAAGGATTTGCAGGACTGATCCTTTAATACTGAAGGAAAACATCCATGCCAAGTTTCCAATATCAGCTTTTTGCTGTAATCCATTTCAGGACAATCTGGTTAGAATGCCTTTAAGTTGGAGAAGCATGTTTCTATTTACACTTTCAAACTGAAAAATGGCTGAATTCACTTTTGCTAGGGCCCAAAGCACAGAAAAAGCATAGAACTATTATGCAACCTACCATGCATCCTTAATTATAAAGGATGTGACCAAAGGACATGACCAAATTTGCTATAGCAACACTGATGCAAGTCAAAGGGAAATACTTTATTTATGTGTATGTTTATTTGATTTGATTTATATGCCACCATTCCCAGCAAAGGCTCAGGGCAGCTTACAGCAAGAAGAAAGAATATATTATAAAACAGGAAAATGAACAAGAGAACAAAACAGTACAGAAACCAAAGCATCAACATAAAACAGAAACTCCCTAGCCAATATCCCAGCCTAGCTTTTTTGCTAAACACTTGCCCAAATAAGAAGGTTTTAAAGTGCTTCCAAATGGTGTCCCAGCTCAGGGTCTGGCATGCCTCGGGACGAAGGGAAGTCCAGAAAGAAGAACAATTGCTGAGACTGACTTCCCATGAGTTTTTGCCAAGTGGGCTTGGTGCATTGATAGTACTTACAGAAGGTTGCTCTTGGCTGACCTTAGGGATTGTGATGGGATATAAGGGAAAAGACAGACCCATAGATATGCAAGGCCTAGACTATTTAGGGCCTTACAGGTCAAAACCAGCACCTTGAAGTGTGCCCAGAAAGCTGCTGGGAGCCAGTAGAGACTCTGGAGCACTGGAGTTATGTGCTCCTGGCAACTGACCTCCTTTAGAAGGTGAGCTGCTGCCTTCTGCGCTAGCTGTGGCTTCTGGATGGTCTTCAAGTACAGTCCCTTTTAGAGTACACTGCAGTAATCTAGTCTTGAGGTTAAAAAGGCCTTAATGATGGTGGTCAGATCTGAATTTGAAAGAAAGGGCCACAGCCTTCTTACCAGAGAGAGTTGGTGAAAGACATTCACCAACTATGGCTGCCACTTGAAGAACCAGGTACAGCAAAGGAACCAAGAGCACCCCAAGCTATGAACTGGAGTGACAAATGGAGGCTGAACTCCATCAATGATAGGTGCCCCCACCTCAAGTCACATGGTTTGTCTATCACTGTTGCCTCTGTGTTGTCTGGATTCAGTTTCAATTGGTTCAGCAACATTCAATCTCTAACTGCAGCCAGGCTCTGGGAAAGGACTCAGACTGCACGGCCGGGTTCAGCTAAGAAAGAGTAATAGAGCTGGGTGGCATCAGTATACTGATGACATTTCACTCCAAATCTCTGTGCAGCCTCACAGAAATACTATATATAAGGCCTATGTTATAATGGCTTCATGTAGGCACGAAATAGGAGGGGCAACAGGATGAAACCCTGGGGCACCCGCAGTAAAGGTCTTGAGGGGCTGATGAGCATCTCCCTAACACGACCCTCTGGGACCTTCCTCTTAGGAAAGAATGGAACCAATTTAGAGCTGTCTTGGAAATACCTACCAGATTATGTAAAAGCTTTATCAGAACCTTATGGGTAACCATATCTGAAACTGCTGAAATATCTAGTAAGATCTGCAGGGCACAATTTTTCCTGTCAATTTCCAGGCAAAGAATTGTGATGCAGGCCATGAGCACATTCTCTGTGCTATATCTAGGATGAAAGTCAGACTGATAAATGTCCAGGAATCTGAAGACATCCAGATGCACCTGGAACTGACATAAAAACAGCTCTTCAATGACTTTCCCCAAAAAGGAGGTTGGAGATGGATTGAAAATTGGCTACACAATTTTCATATCATGCCATTGCAAAGTTCTATCAATGAAAAGGTGCTCTGGTATGATCTAATATGACATGGCATTGCTAATAGATCAGCAGAATTTAAGTAGAGAATTGTGTAGTATTGCTCCCAGAAAGTTTTCAATTAAGTTCAGCTTCTTAACAAGTAGCTTGTAGTCTTCCAGTTGTTCATGAAGTTTAAATGTTCAGTCTAGATCATCACTCCCAAATCTACAAGAGGGGACTGGAGGAAGAAACCTTCACAATGGAGAACTCTCTCCATTGGCAATGGTCTGGAGAAGAGCCTGAAACTTGTTGCATGTGAAGGAAATCAGGTCAATCTGCACAAAATGTTTGTCTAGACTAGCTCTAATCACCAGCAGCTTTGTATTGCAAATTATAATGCTGCACTCTGAGCAAGGTCTTTCCCTTCTGTACTTAGGTCTACTAGAATATTGCTTGGGGCTCTGCCAAGATGAGTTAGAGTTGACCCTTTCTGAGTAGGTTCCTTGTGAGTGGAGGAGGAAGAAGAGGGGGAGATGTGCCCTTGCTTCTGGCACACCTATTTTTCTCTCCAGCCTCCTCAGTCTCTAAGGCTAGGGACAGACATTACACATAAACCAGTTTAAGTGATCAGATTGTTTAAACCTGTAACAGAACATACGTTCTAGGGATGGGATGTGGGATGTGAGAGGATATGTTTACCACTACATAGGTAAGTGGAGACAAGACAACTGTGATCAATATCCCAGTATGCTTGTGGAGAAAAATTGCTGGAGAGGATGCAAAGAGGCTTTATTGAACCCTGGACCCAAGATTTAATTTAACCTGAGAATGCCTTTTATCTGCCACATCTTGAGGAAGCCAGTTAGATGGACTATACAATTATGAGCATATTTTATGCTACTTGGATATCTGCCAGTAACTGTTTGATTTGTGGGTACTAGCAGATAGCTTGCAAGGTATGTGCTGTAAAATAGGCCCATCATTACTGTCAAATGGTCTGGAAGTGGAAACATTTAATTTAAACCTGCTGTATGCCCACATTAAACCTAAGTTTTGAATCTTCACCCTGCTTATGAACATGAGTATAACTGTCTATGGGAGAATAATAGGGAGACTTCTGAGTACCTCTTTCATTATTGATATTAGAAAATCTGTGTATTTGCAGCAGGTTTTACAGTTCCCATTCCCTTTGCAAACTGATACAGTGTTGTAAATTCACTGTCCCTTCAACAAGGAGAAAATCTATATTTTACTGACCATTATTTATGTCATAAAGGGCACCTATACATCAGCAGCAAGGCTGCTCTGATGTGCTGCAATTATAGCACGTGGGATTAATTGAGCCTGCTGGAGTGTGGTAATTACTGCACTCCAGCTGACTCCAGCATCACATGCATCAGCATCCCCATGCTGAAAAATGGCAGTGGGGGAACTTTAACTAAAACTTATTTGATGAGGCTGTTGGACCCACTCTAATTAAAGGGCTGTCCCCCTCCCCCACCACTTCCAGTGGCATGTATGTAAACACCCAAAGCTTTAGGTGGTGAGTAGGGATTCAGTGAATGTGTGTTATGATTTGGTTCCTTCCACCTTTTGAATGAACTCCCTAATGGCTGTAGGAATTGGTTATCAGCAACAGATAATCAGGTATGGAAATCTATAAATCACAGGTTTTCTTCATGTTTTGTTACTGTACCCAGAGGCATATTCAGATTTTGCAACTGGCCATGATCAATATAACCCAAATGAGCCAATCCAGACCTAAACATTCTTTGAACATTTGAGTGTCTGAAATCTTGACCTCTTGAAAAAGTAGTATAATGAATGGTTTGCTTTGAATTAGTGCTGGGGAACCCCCAAAAAAATAACAAAACCCAAAAACGTAAAGTCAAACTTTAGCATTT